TAAAATTGTGGGACATAAAGTCAGAAAATTGCTCAAAAGTCAACAGTCCTATTCCCTGACTAGGGGAGCCAAAAGAAAATTTCCCCGATCACGCATAATCGTAGAAGGAGTAGACAGTTAATGGGATATAGATTTAATCGACATGGTGGACTTGTGCAGCACAATGATGGTTGTAAATACGTTTTTTGCTTTTTATGAGCCTATTAAAACGAAGAAAAGAAACGGTATAACTCAAGCATTACTTACAATTCTGTCCTTACCAAGAAAACCAAAGACGGTGAGAACTGAACGTGGTAAAATTTGATTAAAATCAGCTTTAAATAACGCTCCGATTTTAGATCTGACCGTGACCAAATACGAAATGATATCTGGTGATCTTTCAAATAGCCAATCATCGGTGAGCTTTCATAAATTTGAAAGCGATATGGATTTTAATTTTCACCCTGAAAAAACAAAAAAACAATACTGAATAGATAATTTTCACAGTTTCGAGTACGAACAAGGCGTTGTCCATATAGCCGACAGGTTAACTGGCAAAACAATCTTGCCCATTAAGAATTGTCTCTCTAATTTCAATTAAATTGTTAAAAGTTACTTCAAAATTGATTTTTCTAGGTAAAAATCATTAAACCTCCACCGAAAAAGGCTTTCTCGGGAAATCCAAATTATAAAGTAGGCGCAACATATACGGTCGTCATCAGATCTACATTAAAGAAATAAGTGGATCTGAACGTTAGTCAGATTGGACAGTGGTACTGAATTTCCAAGTAAAGAAGTGAATATAAGTACTTACGAATTGAACCAATACGTCATATATACGCTTTAAATACGGAGACAAAGGCGGATTAGCCGAAATATTTATGAAGACGTTAAAGTATAAACTATTTACATATATGAGTAGAAATCTATAAAGACTTGCTCAAAAATGTTCTGGGTACATATAACACTACTATTCATACGAGTATCGGGGATAAACCAATTAATATTACAAAATATACAGAAAATGAAAGCCGACTTCAACAGTATTTACTTAGGACTAAAGGTAAACCGCTAAAATGACGGGTGAACACAAAATACAAGTTCAAACTAGGCCAAATGGTACAAGTGTCGCAGGTTGAAAACTATATTTGATCGAGATTACTATAAAAAAGGACCGGTGAACTATCTAAAATAAATAATTACGTATAATAAAAAAAACGTTTCAAACGAGACTCTGTTAGCGAATACGCGCAAGCTGACTGCGACAAAAATACCGACGTGAAGGGTACGTTTTTTAACAAGAATTACAGGCAGTTAGTGTGGTTGAACGTACCCAATATAAAGTTGAAAAGATTCTAAGAAGAGGGTACGTACTACACAAAAAGAGGTGTTTGTAAGGTGGTTACATTTGCCAAGCAAAATCGATAGCTGGATCTCTGACAAAGTATCAACATTAATAGTTTTAAAAGCGGACGACACCGACGGGCACACTGACTTCTTTATTTGTGACATCGTAACCAAACAGGGCTGCTCAACGTCTCCGAAAATCTTTGCATTGTACGTCAATGATCTTATAAAATATATGAGATATTGCTTTCCTCATGGAATATTTCTATCCGAAGATACTGGGCACGATAGTCCGAACAATTGTGTGGTATTATGCAGAAATTCGGGGCTACCAGTATTCAGCCACTATTGACAAAGACTTTTGCAAACGTATTTATGGTCTAAACCAGAATGTAGCTAAGTTTTTCCTGCTTCGCGAATGTGGCAGGGCTCCAATTTCAGTACATTACATAACCAAATGTGTAATGTACTGGACTAAACTAATACAAATACCAAACATGCCAAATGAGCGTTATCCTAAACAATGCTGTTTAATGCCAAGCAGACTAGACCATGGATATATTCAAGAAATTGGAAATCGTACAAACTTCATGGCATAACTGATTGATAGAGTCAATGATCGAGCAACCCGAACAATCTTTTCGCAAGGAAAACACTCTTCCAAAGCCAATTAATTAGAAGGACTTCTTGCGCTTTGACGGAAATGTCCTAATATATAACGCCTAAAAATTGTTGTATTTATGTAGCGATCAGATTTGTTACATTTGTAAGAAACACACAACTACGCTTTTCGAGAAATATTGAAATAGGCACAAGATACGAAAGCTTTTATTTGTACACAAACATCAGATATACGTACCGGTGACTGCGAATAATTTCCACTCGTTGTATATGTATTTGACAGATTTATTCCGATTCAATTCAAATCGAATGACCTTCACTATGTACTGCATTTTAAGAAAGAATGGGCGCCATAGAGGTGTACGACTTTAAACCAAAGAAAATGGTTAAATCCTATCGTAAAGAACGGTACATTGTAGGAAGCGGTAAGCATCGATATGAAACGCAAAACTCCACAAGTAAATCTGGTCAGACTTGTTACACAAGCTACATGGAAAGCCATATCTGAGGTGAAATATAAAAATGCTTAAGGTGGTTATAAACTTAAGAAGGGCTTACTAAAGTGTAAAATATGGTAAACAAGATGGATAAATAAAGGCGGCGTTCAATGAACGCAACTCCCACAAGACCCAGCAACAAAACCCAGTGGCAAGGTGCCCAGGAGAACCCCAAACAAAAATGGGACAGGGCGCAAGGCAGAGCACGGACAGGCTAATCAATTAAATGATACATAAGAAGAAATAAAATCAGACGACAAGGAAATCTAGGAAAACAAATAAATGATTGATTAATAGGCCCACAAAGTACACACGGGAAGGGAATATGGGGAAGGAGATAGGACATTCAAGGAAGGGGGGATTTAAGAAGTAAAACTAGTGGCAAATAGGAAGATAACGTAGACGAGAAAACACAAAGTGTCACCAAAACAGCGTGAAACTACAAAGACATACGTCTGCGGAACATAGAGGGCACCGCCGCCTTGGAACAGTCAGCAGCATAAATACTACTGGGGGGGGGGGGGTTTAAACCGGTCAAAGGTACACCAGACCTCTCTCTTAGCCGGACCATGTTCATATAAACGAGACGGTGTAAATACAAAGAACAAGTGAAATTCTAACAGTTGTCATGGTGTTATAAAAAAGTGAAATAAGTTAAACACCTAAATGATCATGTAGAAACAAATAAATGAAAAACACAATGACCATAACAAAAGTACTCAATGTCTTTAAGGAAGACAGAGCAACAAGAAAATCACATACGCATACGCTTTACCCCTCGAACAGCCATCTTGAATCTCTTTGTAGAGAACTTTGGAAATGTGTATAAAAAGAGAACTCGTTAATCCCTTTTACAAGAAAACAATGCGTCTCAAGTAGATTTGAAAACCAGTATCGCAAAATCAAGCGGATTTACGTCATTGACCTATAATGGCGAAATGAGCAACTAAATTTTAAACAGTTTGCATTTCCACAATAATTATATCAAATTTTTCTGCTCAAAGTCATAACCAAATTTAATCTTGAAAAAGTAAAATAAAATGAACAAAATCATTAATGAATATTAAATTATTATTAAATAAATATCAATGAACAAAACATGTCAATGTTTATTCAAGTTTTTACCATGTATTCACAAGCTTTACCATTATACTTAATCAGAATCTCATTCATTGTGATATTTTTATTCTGTAATATACAACATCAAAACTATATTTGAAATTGATAAAAATTACATATTCTTCAAATTGGACATAATCATAACGTTCACATTTTTCAAATTTGATAACGTTTATATATTTCCTAAAATAATTCGTAAAATGTTAAATTCTATTTCTCTCATCGAACAATTAAACGCAATCGAAATCAATAGTTTAAATCGACTAATTTATAAAACTATGGCTTAGTTCACAATAAAACATTCAAAAAATACTAGATCCTCTTGCTATAATGCACATTTTATAGAATAATCTGACTTTACCAAAAATAAGCATTTCCTCTTTGCTCATCTTTATCGTAATTTCTGCGCACTCCCTAATGTTATTGTTCGTATGTGATACGAAACACCATCAAATAACGTAAATACTTAGATATTGTATTGACGAATTGTGACGCAAAAATTGTCAAAAATTACCATTTTCTTCATTTATTTGGTATGATATGGAAATCATTTATATGCAGCATCGATTTCATTGTACCAAATTATATACTAAAATTATTTAACATGTCAAAACCAATATTTAAATCAAGAAATTTGATCTGGGAAAATTGAACAAAAATGACCGCAACATTTGTTCATAGATTAGAAAATATATTCGTCATTCATGTCATAAACGAGTCTTTTCCAATTCATATAGCGTTCTCTCTCATTCATTTCTCAAGTAATAACAAATTCATTTAGATTTAGATTCTTTTAGACGATGTTAATCGTTATTTATTTCTGATTTATTCAAGTTATGTTTCTGGTATAATTATACATCAGTATTGTTTTATTTTACCTTATTATCTTGTAATCTATTCAAAAATGATATGTTTATTCTGTAATCACCTGGAATCTATTGAAGACCGATATCTTTATTATGTATCACAAACAACATTTAATATACGTTCAGATTTGACCATAATTTCATCCAAAATTATTCTGCAGATTTGACCTAATTATAACCCTGATATTTTATTCAAAGTTGACATAATTATTACGGGTTTTTATTTGCTAGTACAAAAAATCGATTTTTTTCTCCTAACACATACATTATCTATACTTTTAATCAACACGAATCAACATTCCTAAATAATCCCATTTGTCATTGTTATAATACACGTCTAATATAAATTATCTGACAGACAATACACATATATCGTATTCTAATAACTTTTGTTATAGGACGCGTCTAATAAGATTAATTATATAATATACACTTCGTGTATCCATGTAAATACTATGAAACCAAACTAACAGTATATTGCATAATGGAATTCAAACTATAATCCAAAATGGCTGCCGCGCATGAGCAGTAAGTGGCGCCCAACCGTCGCTCATACCACTTGCATTTGTAGGAAATTTTCAACTTATTTTTTCAAGAAGAAAACCATTTGCAGCACCAGAGATGTATCCTTCAAGGTTAGAAGCATTACATATTTCTATTTGAATATGCTGACATCAATTCTTTTCTTCTTTTCTGTTTTTGTTAAAGAAAGAATGTAATCGTTTATTTAATAATGTCTAAATAAAACGAATAACATTTCATGAAACACAACAATTAATGTATATTTTGACGAATTTACTCGCATCCAGGTGTGAATTATTATCAGCTAAAAATCCAGCTATTGATGTTTTCCCTTTTTGAATCTTGTATACTTAATCAGTACTGGTTATAATGAAAATGGAACTTTAAATATATTTAAGTTGACATTAAATAAGTTATTTCATATATCAAGGCAAAGACACACTGCGTGGACAGAGAATTGCAACAACGGTCTTGTGCAAAGGTAAAAATTAGATATAACTTTTTAACAATTTCTTAGAAATTTATTGAATCTACACAAATACTTTATATAAAAGCTATTTTAAATATTGGAACGATTATAGCATAATAATTCCAACATCAGATTTTTTTTATCATCCGATTAAAATAAAACAAAATATATTTTGTTTAAAAAGGATAAAAACATTAATTCACGAGATAATGCAGTTAAATACGCAAATATGGGAAATAATGATATTTGAATTTTCGTAATTTCGTGTATTTTCTTTATTCCATCGTGATATCGCAATTTCGACGGATGGACGGATAGATGAATGAATGGAGATTGGTGGATGGATGGATTGATGGATGGGTGGGTGTTTAAATGGATGGATGAACTTGCACCTATTAAATATACAATAATTTGGTGAAGAATAGGTTAATTATATGTGTTATTGTTATCATTAAAGGAGTTTTAGGCATCAAGAGGCTTATCAACTTCACGACCCGTATGAATCTGAATATGGAGCAAGGTATGTGACAACTTGTAACATTCTGTTATGAAAACTTCATTTCTATTTCAGATATGTGTATCATTTACTTTCAATATAAACTTCACTGTAAGATTGTTAATACTACATGTATCTTTCAAGATATTCTACAAAACCTATGAGCTTTTTCAACATATCCATTCAATAACAAGGACAATAACGTGAAGTGGTTAAACACTTGAGTATGGCTACCGGGTAAAGATTATTTCAAACGCCCGCAAAGATTTTCTCCATGTTAGCGGGTTTGAATGTTATTTTGAAAATTGTAATATGCTCATTGCTAATTGCAAATTTTATGACAACCTCTGTTCCAGATTTCAGCTTCCTAGCTTCTGATTTGACGAAGTTATTGAAGTTGTAAACTGGTCATGTACACATCGGAGTTTTGACAAGTGACTTTTCTTGTCGGGTTTCTACTCATTTATTCACATCTTTAGGTTTTGAAGTTCAACAATATGTGTTTCTATCAAAACTGTGTAACTGTTTTGATCTACATGTCCCAAATAAAGTTAAAAAATAACATAAAAATATCTTGTTCAAACGCAATTTGGTTGCAAACTTGTGCTTTGCAAACTTATGCATCAACAATATTGTATTGGCAGAACTATTATTTGATGGATTAATTATTCGTAATATTTTAGTTTTTAAGTATTTAGTGCTATGATAATCATATAACAAAACGTTAATTTCAACTTTTATTTAATAGTTAGAAATTGAAGATTTTTGTGAGAATTTAAAAGAATTTCAGCAATATTTGAAAATTTGTTACAAGAATACTAGATATGAACTGAAATGTGTACACAGATACCATAAGGGATATTTGTTTTTGAACTGTGCGAGATAAAGAGTAAGGTTAATATTGTGTAAATATCAGCACTATTTTTCTTAGTAATTATTGAGTTTACACAAATGCTATAATAGTTATTTTAAATGATGGGAATTAATGTATAGTTATGACATCCTAATTCCAACATGATGTAATATCAAAATTATACTGTTTTTAATAAACAAACATATGATAAGATTTGACTCATATAATCCGTTTAAAATAAAACAAGTATGTTTTTGTTGTGTTGTTTTTTTAAAGATGAAAAAAAACACACATGAAATCACGAAAGAATGCAGACAAATACGCAAGTAAGGGAAATTATGTAATTTGATTTTTTGTAATTTCGTGGGTTTTGTTTCGTTTTTTTTTTCATCGTGTTTTGGCAATTTCGACTGATAGATGGAGTGATGGATGGATGGACTTGCCCCGAATAAATATACAATAATTTGGTCAAGAATATGTTAATTACTTGTGTTATTGTTATCATTACAGGAGTTTTAGTAGGCATCAAGAGGCTTATCAACTTCACGACCCGTATGAATCTGAATATGGAGCAAGGTATGTGACAACAAATACGTTACTTGTAACATTCTTTTTTGAAAACTTCATTTCTATATCAGATATGTGTATCATTTACTTTCAATATAAACTTCACTGTAAGATTGTTAATACAACATGTATCTTTCAAGATATTCTACAAAACCTATGAGCTTTTTCAACATTCAATAACAAGGACAATAACGTGAAGTGGTTAAACACTTGAGTATGGCTACCGGGTAAAGATTATTTCAAACGCCCGCAAAAATTTTCTCCATGTTAGCGGGTTTGAATGTTCTTTCTTTTTTTTCTTCGCAATTTCGACTGATAAATGGATTAACTTGCATCGATTAAATATACAATAATTTGGTCAAGAATAGGTTAATTACTTGTGTTATTTTTATCATTACAGGAGTTTTGGGTATCAAGAGGTTTATCAACTTCATGACCAGTATGAATATGAAGTTAAAGAAAGGTATGTGACAATAAATACATTACTTGTAACTTTACTTTTTGATACCTTTATTTCTATGCCATATATGTTTTTCATTTACTTTCAATAAAAACTGCAAACACCGTAAGATTTTTAATATTATATGTATCTATCAAGATATTCTACTACACCTTTGCGCTTTTTCAACACCTTCGTTTCCATGTTTCAGCTTCCAAGCTTCTGATTTAGCGAAGTTATTGAAGATATAAACTGATCATGTACACATTTTGAGATTTGACAAGTGACCTTTCTTGTCGGTTTTCTACTCTTTTATTCACATTGTTAGGTTCACCAAACAAGACAATATATGTTTCTATCAATACTGTATGACTGTTTGAATTTACATGTCCCAAATAAAGTTTTAAAACACAAAAATATATTGTGCATTGCAAACTGTTGGGTTTATATTGAATGAATATCAGCACTATGTTTAAATGTGGCGTAGCCCAAAATAAAAATAAGGAACTGCTGATATTACCTACCAGGCAACAAACAGACTCCAACAGGAGATTTGTACACGCTAATCGACATAGTTATGCCAGTGTTGTAAGCGGTGCAAATTCATTTGACATTGATTACAATATATCATCACCACAGGGGGAATTACAAAGAGGCACTATTGATAATACCAAATAGGATAACGGTCAAGGCCCAGTAAAAAAGCTATCTCTCCTTTCATGGAATATCGAAGGGTTAAACCATGTTTTAAAATTTGAAAATGTGTGCAAATTTATTTCTGAATTCAATATTGTTTGTCTGCAGGAAACATGGGATGATGATAGTTGTGCTTGTTTAAATGTTGAAAAATTCACTAATTTTGCATGTAATGCTAAAAAATCTGTAGTGGGAGGCAGATCCATGGGCGGAGTTGTTATTATGATTGAAAACCAGCTTACTAGATATGTCCAAAGGATTTGTGATAATTTTGAGTATGGTGTAATGCTTTTGATAGATAAATCAATTTTTAGTATTGAAAAGAATGTGCTATTGGTCTCGTTATATTCTCCTCCAGAAAAATCACCATTCTACCAAAATATTGTGTATACATGTTTACAACGATTAGAAGCTCTAATATCAGATAATAACTTGACACAATATGAACTGTTAATCTGTGGTGATTTTAATGCTAGAATTGGTAATCTTGTTGATTATGTGTCATATTTTGATGGACCAGAGTTTCAAGATGTTAGAGATGTATTAGAAAGTGGTATTACAATTGAAAGACACTCACAAGATAACATTGTAAATAATGATGGTAAACATTTGATTAATTTTTGTAAAGAATATTCTTGTTACATTTATAATGGTAGACTGTTACCTGAAAATACAGATGGTTCATATGGAAACTTTACATTTGCTAACCAGAATGGATGCAGTGTTGTAGACTATTGTTTAGCATCCAAAAATATTTTTGATTTAACTGTAGACTTTAAAGTTTTAGATGTGATTGAAAGTACACATTTCCCTTTGTGTTTGATAATTCACTCTAGCATTAACTTTGGTAGAAATATTGAAAATATACCTACTACAGCATATAATTTTAATGAAAATGGTAAATCTGTATATTCATCTACTCTTGGTGATGCTAAGAAGTCAGGTATGTTTGACAGGTTAGACTCACTGTATGAACATTGTAATGATGTAAATATTTTACTTGATGAATTTGAGAAGGTTGTCAGTTTTTGTAGTGAATCTCTGTTGTATAGTAAACATAACAAAAACCATAGACTACAAAATAGGGCATGGTTTGGTGCTGAATGTAAAAACGCCCGTAAAATTTCTAGGTCTTCACTGCGAAAATTTAGATTATGTCCAAGTTTGGATAATTTAAACATTTATATTGACAATAAGCATTCATATAAAAATATATGTAGACAAAAAAGATATGCATATGAAAAACAATTTATAGCTGATATTGATAATAGCGTTAATAACTCCAAAGAATTTTGGAAGAAAATAAATAATATATCAAAACCAGGTAACAGAGATTCACCTATAAGTATAGATACATGGTTTTCTCATTTTAAACAGTTGTTTTCTGTTGCTGATATTGATGGAGGTATTGGTGGAAATTTACCGGCTACAGTTAGTGAAGATGTAAATTCAGATGAAATAGATAATTTAGATGAGATTGAGAAGTTTCTGTTTAATAGCCAAATATCTGAGGATGAAGTAAATGAAGCTGTTAAAAAATTAAAGTCTAACAAGGCAACTGGAGGCACACTAATACCTTCACATATCATTTATGGTTTAGATACTCTACTTCCTTATATGTGCAAATTATTTAATAAGATATTTATTTCTGGGATATTCCCTGAAAAATGGTGTCATTGTGTAATTATACCTGTTCATAAAAAAGGTAATTTGCTAAACCCTAATAATTATCGAGGAATATCCTTAATTGATGTCATAAGCAAAGTATATATTAATATTATTACCAACAGAATTACTTTTTACATTGAGGCATATGGAAAGCTTTCAGAATGTCAGGCAGGTTTTAGGAAAAACTATTGTACTACTGACAATGCTTTTATACTATACTCTATTGTATCTAAATATCTCCAACAGAAACGAAAGCCAGTTTATGTAGCTTTCATCGATTTTCAGAAGATCGGCCGATTTTATATGATATATTACGTAAAAACAAAATAACTGGTTGTTTGTATAACACAATTAAATCTATTTATGTATCGGTTAAAAGCTTTGTTAAATCTAAATCTGAAGTTTCTGATATTTTTGATTGCCCCACAGGATTACGTCAAGACTGTAGTCTAAGTCCGATATTATTTGCATTATATATTAATGAATTACATGATTTGTTTTTAAGTAATAATATTAGGGGTATTCAATTGTATCCTGATACTCTGGAAATATTTATGATTATGTTTGCAGATGATATAGCGTCTGTATCTGATACTATCGTTGGTCTTCAACGACAGCTCAATTGTCTCCAAGATTTTGTAATCAATATAAACTTGTTGTTAATATAGACAAAACAAAAATTATGGTTTTTAAAAAGGGGGGACAATTGTCAAAACATGGACATTGGCACTATTCTGGTAAAAATATTGAAGTTGTTAAAGGATTTGATTATGTAGGTGTTCATTTTACCAGCAAATTATCT